CCCTGGCGCGCCGGTTTGGCCCGGCCCGGGTGGTTCTGCCCCTCCGAGTCCAGCCAGGGCCCTCGGAGGCCAGGGGAGGTGGCGCGGGCCTTGGAGAGGCCAAGGAGAAGCCTCTGCTGCTGCTGCGAGTTCAGGTTTCTCCGAACTCCCTCTGTCCTTGGCACTCCTCGGCAAGATCGTTGTGCACCGTTTGCAGTCTCGCCCGAGTGCAGGCTGCGCTGTGGGTTAGAGCAGCTCGAGGGAGCTGGCGCAGGACGGCGTCTGACGGGGGTGGGTTCATCTGGCTGTGGCAAAGATGCAGATGGCAGTCCCCGGGGTGACTGGATCCCGGCTGCCTGTGGTGAAGACCAGCTGGTGAGAAGCACAAAACAGCCGCCGCGGATATGATCATGGTTTCCCCTCGTCCGGGTAGCGGGAACTCAGACCTGCCCATGTTAAGCAAGTGCTCTACCACTGAAATACACCCCAGCCCTTTTTCTTTTTTCAACAAGATCTCACTGAGTTGCCCAGACTGGCGATCCTCCTGCCTTAGCCTCCCAAGTACCTAAGTGTGCACTACCATTCCTGACTCAGGGCATAGTTCTTCTAAGTGGTGATTTTTATAGAGGCCCAAAGCATCTCGTGTTTACACAGAGGGGGCCGGAAGGTGCAAGGTGGAAGGTCTTTGAGAGAGGGTTGTCTAAAAAGCACTGCTTTTCAGATGCCCACCCTGAGGTCACAGGTCACCTCCACATGCCTGTGCATTCCTCCTGCCTGGCTCTTCAGCGTCAGCCCTTTGGAATTGATTAGAGCAGCACAGTATAGTGGAGGCACCTGGTATTTGAGCTTAAAGGTTCTCTCAATCCTAGTGTCACCTCAGGGTATCGAAGTGCACAAGGGGTTACAGACCATGCTCTTACAGATGACCAAAGGATTGGGTATTCGGGGCAAAAGGATGGCACCTCTGAGCTTTAGTTAAGTGTGGCTGGACATTAGAACTTGAGACAAGAAGGGTCAGGAAAGCAAAGTGGGCCAGGACAGGTATGGCGATGACCAGACAGACTGGAGGAACGTCTGTCTGCAGAAGCACGGGGCAAGGCAGAGAGGGCGTCAGGGTGGTCAGACGGCAGCCAACACAGCTGTGTGGAAAAGACTGGGCTGGGAAGGGCATGCTCAGTAAGACTTTGCGTACCATCGGGCTTGGGTGGCAAGGGGAAGCATCGTAGCCAAGAGAAAAATGCCCCCAGGCTAGAGTCCGAGTGACAGGAGTGGTAGGTCCCACAGGCTGGGGGAAGCCACGGCTTGTGCTGTTCTGACCCAGGGGGCCCCAGAGTGCACATGGCTGGTGGCAGATGCTGGATTAAATCACACTCAGCCATCTTTCTGTGCTTGCTTTTCAGTATTCTCTGGATTCACTTCCCTGTGATATACTGTGATCTTCTGCAGTGAACTTTGTGTAAAAATATACCCAGGGTCATTAATGGTTACTCTATTTTGAATCTTTTGTTCATACATTTTGAGAGACATTAGCAACACCAGCCAGTCATTTATTATTGAAAGGACCTCCTCAGGCTCTTGGTGACAGAAAGGTCACATACCAAGCATGTTAAAATGAGCCAGAGTTCATGTGGAGCGCTTACATGGCACCTGCAATGAACAACAGTACATGGATTTTATCCCACAGAAATTTCTGATTGATCCTTCTTTGTCCTCTTACATCAGTGAGGAGGAGTTTTGGGGCTTTTCTATTTGGTTTTTGTTTTTGCAGATGATTTAACTAACCCATTGGCTTGCTTAGCAGGAATTTGATTGGGTTGGTAGCTGAACAGAAAAAAACAAGAGCCCAGGAGCAGTTTGGGCTTCAAGGTAGCCACACTTGAGGGCTCATGAAGGGCTTGCACCCAGCTGCACCCTGTTTGTGTCACCTGTGCGGGGTCACTCCACTTTGGCGCATGCAGCCAGGGCAGTTAGCCTGGGCCCAGCAGTGCTGTGGGAAGAAAGCTCCCTCCCGTCATCCTGACACAGTCCTGACATTGCGCCTCCGCCATGCACTCTGGGCCACCTGCTCAGATCCAGTTCTGGAGCCCATTCCTGGGGAGAGCTGGCTGGGCCGGGGAAGGTGCCTGGTGTGGGTGGGCAGCCCACATACACCAGGACTGGGAAGAGAGGGCAGCCAGTTCCAAGAAGGAGAACCAGATGCCGAGCAGCGAAGTAGGTATTGCAGAGTCCACTCTCCAAGTGACGCCACTGAGCTAGCATCAGGGTCGGGTTCACTGAGAAAGGGTGACATTGAAGTGAGTGCACCAGTGTATTTAAATATTCTCTAAGCCAATCAGTCAAGGCTGTGCACATATCTGCCCTGAATGTAGTATCTGTGGCTCCTGCTTCCCCGATACATTTTCACACAGTAATTATTATGCTAGTAGTTAAATTGCCTTTTCCCCTCCTTGTTGGTACCTAACAAACTGGCTGTGTTAGTTTCTTAACAGACAGGAAAAGCTTTACATTTCTGTCTCCCTCTCCCTGTGACAAAGTATCACAACTGGGCAGCAGGAACAACAGTAACATGTTCTGGAGCTGCAGTCTGAAACAAATCACTGGGGGACCAGGCCGGACCCTGCCTGTCGATGCCGGTCTATGGGTCTCCAGCTGCCCTAGTCCAAGCCTTCCCAGGACCTGCTACAGGCCTGCATCTGTCTTCTTGTGCTGTTCACCCTGTGTGTCTGCCTCCTCTCCTTCTGTGTTGTTCTTTTTTTGTTGCAGTCCTCCATATCAAACCCAAGCCCTTGTGTGGATGTTAGGCAAAGTGCTTGTTTTAGTTACTTTTCTCCTTACTGGAAGCCCAAAATTAAAGGGGGAAAGGGTTTGTTTAGCTCACAGTTTTTAGAGGTTTCAGCCCATAATCAGCTGGCTCCAAGCAGGAGAATTTAACAGCATCTTTCTGCCCCCTTCTCTCTCATCCAGCCTACTTAGGGCAGGCAATACCCCCACCCTTCATCCTAGAGCCCTTGATCCTGGCACTGCGCCATAAATCAATTCCAGTGTCACACACTCTGGATGCAGCCCCCTCTGAAGAGCCCCACCTGTGACCCCATGGGGCTTTGGGGGGACAGCTAGACATAGTCATAACAGTGCTGTACCACTGAGCTACACCCTCAGCCCCTTTTCCCCTTTTTAAAAGAATACCGGTCACCTTGGATTGGCTGGATTGAGTCTACCGTTATGATTGGGTGGGCAGGGGAGATCAAAGCAGAAACTTTGTCCTGAGCTGCACCCCAGCCATCTGTCCTTTTGTTTTGTTCTGATTTTTGAGAGAGGGTCTTGCTAACTTGCCCAGGCTGGCCTCAGACTCACAGTCATTCTGGCTCAGCCTCCAGAGCGCTGTGACTACCTACCAGCAGGCACCACCACACCGGGCCACACCTTCGCTTTAACCAAGTCACATCTGCAAAGACTCTTTTTTTTTTTTCTTTCTTTCTTTGCACTTGCGAGGCAGGTGGCAGCACCACTGAACTAAATCCCCAGCCCTGCAAAGACTTTTTAAATGAGTTCACATTCACAGGTAGCAAAGGAAGGACTTGAAGGTATCATTAGGAGACACAGTTCCGTTCACCACACAGATCAAACTTTTGAACAAATACTGTCAAGAGTCCAGTAATGGTGCTTTAAGTAGAACTAGAAGTATCTATAAAGAGCATTTAACAAAAAAGCTAGACTTTCAGAGGGATGGAAAATCCTAAGCACTTTGTAAATTACCTTGTACATTAGAAGGCATTAACTAACTTTTTTAATGCTATTGGTACTGAAGTCCCTTAAAGGAACTCTCCCTGCTCTTAGGAACAGCTCAGGCATGCAGAATGCCCCACAAGATCGGGTTTGTAGTGGTCAGCTCTTCTGGACATGAAGACGGCTTCAGCGCCCGGGAGCTGATGATCCACGCGCCAACAGTCAGTGGGTGGCGGTCACCAAGGTAGGGCTGTATGGGAGCAGCACTGGGCCCTGTGGGTTCCTCTTACTCTGAGCTCTCATTTTATGACTCAGACAACAGGAATGATAAGATTTTCGGGTTGTGTTCTGTGTCCTACACCTAATTCTATGATGGTTTTTTTGTTGTTGTTGTTGTTGTTTACATTTTTGAAGAAACTTTTCTGCTCTTCTCCCTTATGTGAGCCCACACTCATTTGAGAAAAGGTGAAGAAGTGGAAAAGACTGCACCGCCACCCAGCCCTGCCCTCATGCTGGCCTGTGCACTTGCAGTCAGCAGCTGTTGCATGCAGGTTATACCTGCAGACTTTCTGGCTCCATGATTGGACACCTGAAGGTGAAGGGTTTTGCATCTGCCTGCTTTTGTGTGATACCAGGCTTCAACAAAACATTTGCACATTTACAAAAAAGTCATTCATTGCCGGGTGTGGTGGTGCACACCTGTAATCCCAGCACTAGGGAGGCTGAGGCAGGAGGATCGCTATGAGTTCAAGACCAGCCTGAGCTACACAGTGTTCCCGATCTTGTAATCCCAGCACTAGGGAGGCTGAGGCAGGAGGATCGCTATGAGTTCAAGACCAGCCTGAGCTACACAGTGAGTTCCAGATCAGTCTCAACTACATAGTGAGACCCCGTCTCAAAAAAATAGGAAAAAAAACAAACAACAAACATTCATTACTTGAGTGTTACTTTTTTTATTTTTCTGAAACTAAGAAATCTCTGTTGCAGGTGTGGTGGTGCAGGCCTGTGATCCCAGCACTCAGGAAGCTGAGACAGGAGGGTTACCATGAGTTTGAGGCCAGTTAGGGCTACATAGTGAATTCAAGGCCACCCTGAACTACATAACAAGTCCTTGTCTCAAAGAAAAAAAGCTGTAGTCTCTGTTTTTTGCTGGCACATTGTGGAGCTCCAGGCTGAACAGGCCACCTGCTCCTGCTCTGTGCAGACCTGGCCTAGGGTCCCTGTCACCGCTCACCCTTAACCCATGAACTGGGGATGTGCAGGGCACCTTCATTCAGCTGAAAACTGACAGTAAATTTCATTTAAAATCAGAATTAGGGTTTTGGAGGCCCCAGGGGTTTGGCTCAGTGGTTCCACTGCCTGCCTCACAAGCGCAAGGTCCCAAGTTCAATTCCCGGTACCAAAAAAAAAAATTAGAGTTTGGGGAGCCCCAACACACCAGGATGGCCCTCCCTGCCTGAGCTCTGAGGGAAGCAGGAAGAAGGCTGGGGAGCACCTCCTCAGGACACGGGTGCTACAGCAGGCAGTGTCCATGGTTACCCAACACTGGGGCCTGCTGATCCCAAGCTCACCAGGCACCTCGCAGGCCCCTCCCCAGGCAGGGACCACCACACTTCCCTCCACCAGGTCAGTAGTGAGGCGCAGACAGAGGTCCTCACAGAGACGGACAGAGAGGTCTTGGATTGTATCCACTAAAATGGCCCTAATGTGCTTTTTCACACTGACGTGGTATTTGAGGGTACAGCCGTGCCCATCTTGGTCCTCTGCTTCCAGAGTGTACTCCAAAGGAGGGGACAGGTGTGCCCTGCTTGACACGCCACACACACATCACTAATTGTGCTTACATCTAGATTGATCGCACCACAAACGGTAGCACAAGTGCCTGCAGATAAAACCTTCAGTGTCCGGAGCAACACTGGACTGCACAGTTAGACCAGGGGTCTACTCCTAAAGCTGTGGTTTCACTGCATTTCCCAACTGCTCTCCTGCCCCATTGCATCTCCCGGGCAACCTTGGGCTTCAAAAAGTTGACATCAGAAAAGATCGGCTTCTTGCTCCCAACCTCACAGAGCACAAGCCCCCTTCCGGCTCGCTCTGCCCCCTCAGCAGTTCCAGTGCAGGCCCAGCTGTCCCAGGCCCAAGCGGCCCTTGGGCCCTTGATTTCCTTTCCCTTCCCGGGTTCTTCCTCAGCAGGCTCTGCATTTGTGTGTGCATAGCCAGTCTGGCATCCAGCCATGACCCCACGGCAGCACACAGGGAGGGTGGCTGGGTAGCAGCCTGGCTGTCCTATTGGAGCTTCCCAGCCAGCAGGGTCAAAGGCTTCAGCATGCTCCAGGCCCCAGGCTTCTTCCCCTGGGCACTGAACACAGGGCAGGTGCTCCTTAAAGGTTGGCGCTCAGCGCCCTAGAGCCAGTTGTGTTCAGCTTTCTGACCTGTGACAAAACACCCAATGTAATCCACTTAACGGAGGAAAGGCTATCTCGGCTCAGTGTTTCCAAGATGGGGCTGTGGCAGCCCAGTGTGTCATGGTGGAAGTCTGCAGAGGATGCTGAGGGAGAGAAGGGGCTGGGTCTCCATAGACAAAGGCCACACCCTCCGTGACATCACTTCCTTGATAAGTCCCGCCTCCTAAGGGGCCCACACACACCCCTCCCTGTAGCACCGGGGTTGGAGACCAAGCCTATGGCAAGTGGGCGCTGGGAGTGTGAAACTGAGTCCTAACCCTGGTGGTCTCTGTATCAACCTGATCAGTGGAAAGCCTGGGCTCAGCCTCACAAACTGATCTGTCCATCTCGAGAGGAGCTGGGGGTGTAGACAAAGGCAAGGCAGCAGAGGGCTTGGCTCCCCACACAGGGACACCCTGCTTCTCTGAGAAGCCCCTCTGGGAGCCTGGCGTCTGGGGACCTGGTCCTTGTGCCTGGAAAACCAGATCTGTCTTTACTTTCAGATTCTGCCAGTTTCCACAAGAAATTGTCCTTCAGATGGTGGAGAGATGTCGAATAAGAAAGCTCCAGCTCCTTGCTCACCAGTATATGATTTCAAGCAAAATTGAGTTTTACATCAGCGAGAGTTTGCCGGACTACTTTGTACCTTACCAGACAGAGCGCTTCCGCAGGCTGGGGTAAGAGTGTCCTTAGTGGCCTCACCAGACACAGGCCAAGCTCCCCCTGGCACCACCCGGTGCTGGTGCTTCTGAAGTGACCCTGCGTCCGGCCCTTTGCAGGAATGCTGATTCCAGTCCTGGGAGCTTCTGCGTGTTTCACCCCGCTGGGCTCAGTAGATGGGGCGCTTTCTGTTCTGTCCACGCCCATCTTCAACACCACTTCCTTTGCAGCTATGTGTCCCTCTGCGACAATGAGAAGACAGGCTGCAAAGCCCGGGAGCTAAAATCTGTGTACGTGGATGCCGTGGGGCAGTTTCTTAAGCTGATTTTTCACCAAAACCATGTGAACAAATACAACATCTACAACCAGGTAAGAACAGCTGCCTGCCCACACAGGTGTGTGGTGTCTTCTCTTACATGCATGTCAAGGCTCTTTTCCCAGTACTAGGGGTTGAACTCAGGGCCTTCACCGAGTTAAAGCCCTGGCCCTTTTCTTTTTTTTCTTTTTTTTTGGGAGACAAGTTCTTGCTAAATCACTGAGCTGCCCAGGCTGGGCTCAAACTTCAATCCTCCTGCTTCAGCCTCCAAGACTGCTGGGATTACAAGGCATTTGCCTCTGGGCTTGGTTGAGACTCCCTTGTCAGAGGGGTCTTTTGTGTATGCCTGACTGTTGCCCCCTGGAGCCGGGCTGTCCCATGCGTACAGCAGTGCTGTGGCATTTGTGTCACCAAGACTTCAGAGACTTGTGTAAAGGAGGCTGTGGGAGCATCTGTATCAGTCCCAGGTGACAGCTGGGACATTGTTCAGAGGTATCTCTTTCCAGCATTTTAATGTCACTGCTAGAGGACCTGGCGTGACTGTGTGGCCAGCGCTCTGCCATGTGGGAGCCGGGACTCCTGCAGGGCACTGGCGCCCAAGCACCCCAGCTCTGGCCACTCCTGCCACCCTTGCTTTCTGTTGCTGAGCAGTTAGAACTGGGGTGTCCGGAGCACCCTGCTGCTTAGCGGAGTGCATGGCCCCGCTCACCTGGAGGAAATGAGCCCCCCGACAAATTAGCTTCCTACCATGCCAGTGAGTTTGGAGGGAGCTCAAAGTCTAGGAGCCTCTCCCCTCTGTCCACCCCATCACCATGAGCCTGGGCTCAGTGGCTGCCTGAGGTCCTGTGAGCCTGCTGACATGGCTTTTGTCTCATTGTCTGGTTTCCTGATTCCTGGCATCACCTGCTTGAGATTTCTACATTCATCCACAAGTGGAGGTCCCATTACCAGGCCCCAGTTTTTGGCTTTTAGCTATTATTTCTTTGCCTTCTTTAAATGGTGAGAGAGCCCCTGTCTTGGGTAACTTATGTAAGAGTTGGTAACAGTTCCTCGTGTTAGCATAACACTTCACAGTTAATGCAGTTTGATCTGTGTCATCCCATTTGATAGCAATGCAGTGGAGGGCATTATAAAGGACTTGAGGCGCCTCAGACACTTACTTTAAGCTTAATTCCTGTTGATTTGACTTTCTTAGGTTGCTCTGGTTGCAATAAATATCATTGGAGACCCTGCGGATTTTGGCAGTGAAAGCAAGCTTGTAAGTTTGGGAGCTTTAATTCCTAAGGAAAAAAATGGATTCCAAATGGGAGGAATCATTTATTTCTGTAACAAAAAGTACCGTTGTTTTCCTGGGCATGGTGACACATACCGATAATCCCAGCCTTGGGAGGCTGAGGCAGAGAATCGCTGTGCATTTGCCTTGAGTTCAACACCAGCTTGGACTACATAAAATGACCCTGTCTCAAAAAAGACAAAACAGAGCAGGGATTTAGCTCATTGGTTCCTCCACCTGCCTCTCAAGCAGAAGATCCTGAGTTCAATCCCCAGTACAAAAAAAAAGAAAAAAAAAAAAAAACAAAAATGAAAAGAAAAACAAAAAACCTAATTTTGAAAATCTTGAGACTACTGAAAATTT